TAATCCTATAGTGGCCCCAATTGATTCTGGGAACAAAAGGCCCTTGTGTAGCCCTAAAGGCATGCTTGCTCCAGCCCACGGCTGGCAGTGCGAACCCTTTGCTGTCTCTTTAAGGCCCGTGCAGGGAAAACTTCAATCCTCTATGGGGGCTGCTATACAAAGACAGGCTGATTTCTGAGGGTGCCCACACAGATGCCTTTGCAAGGCTATGAAGTGGTCTCTGACAGGCTGGTCTGATTGGACCTACTGTGTGCAGAATGAGATGTCAGAGATTGGCCTCCAGGGGAAAGGGCTGTATGTGATGAAGCCCCTCCCACACACCCTGCCCTTCATGGGGGAAGATCACCAGAAAGAGAAACAAAGGCAGAGAAGTCACAGGAGAGAGCACCAATGCTCTGGATGGATGCTGCCTTTTGCTGTGGGCTGGCCTCAGTGCCCATCCTCTCCCATATTGGCCATTCCTAGTCACCGGCCTATAGACTTGTCTCTGGGGCAGCAGAAGGCAAGAAAGGAGGGATCACATTACCTTAAAACCTCACTGTCAGGCCCAAGTCATGCCCGAGGATTCCACACAGCTGCCCCAAATGCCCAACTGTGTATCCCAGAAGCCCATGCAGGTTTGTATGTGGCCACCACAGGGACCACTCTCTGTCACTTTCTGAGATGCTGGAAACAGGCTGCATGAAGATAAGTTGGCTGGAGCTGCCCAGAGCCGGACCCTGCTCACTCATGCAGTCATATTTATGGGTCCTTTTGGCGTTTGCCAAACACTGAATGTTCCTGTGAGCTCATAGGAGTCCAAGTGAGCAGGGGGCCTGATCAGTGAGCCCTCAGCCCAGCTGTTCCACGGCCCCTCACATGAGGTCAAGAGGAGTGGCCACTCTTTCAGCTAGGCCCACACTTGGTGGAGATCCCAGCAGGGACTCTGGCTTGGTATTTTCTGCAGGCTGGCTGCCTCTTAATCTTTCCTTAGGACCATGGAGGAGATTTTCTTTGTTCTTTGTGATGATGGAATATTTTTAAATTTTACTGTGTGTGTGTGTGTGTGTGTGTGTGTGTGTGTGTGTGTGTGTGTGTGTGTGCACACGCGCACGCAGGCACACACATTGGGAGATGCATCTTGTCTTCCACCTTGCTGAGGCAGAGTTTCTTGCCATTTCTGCTGCTGCACTGTGAATTCCAGTCTTGCTGGCCTCTGCTTCTGTCTCCCCCATCTCCTCTTCCTCCCAGAGGTGTGCTGAGATTACAGATGAAGGCCACTGCTTCTGGCTTTCCTTACATGTGTCTCAGGAAAGGAACTCACACTGTCAGGCTGTCTTAGCAAAAACTTTTACCCACAAACCCATCTTCCTCATGATATTATTATTTTCCCTTTAGAGACAGGGCTTCAAGTATCCCAGACTGGGCTTAAACTTGCTGTCCAGCCAAGGATGACTATGGTCTTCTAATGTCCCTGCCTCTGTCTCTGAGTTCTAGGCTTACAGGAGTGTGCCACCACATAGCTTACGTGGTGCTGATAAAGGAGGAGAAATCGGGGCTTCAATCATGCTAGGCAAGCACTCTACCAGCTGAGTTACACCCACAGCCCTGTGATTTCTTCTTTTTTGATTTAGAATACCCAGTTCTTCATCTCCTTTGCACAGTGTCTACTGGACAGGCCAGCTTTGGGCTCTGAGGGCTGCAAAGTGGACCAAGGAGACACCCAAACTGTCACTGGGGTGGTGTAGCAGCTCAGAGTAACCATCTTTTCTTGAGATGGCTGAGTCCATGACATATGTCCATCCATGTCCCTTGCTTCGGGCCTACTAGTGGTCTGGCATTGTCCCCAATGCCCACCTTTATCCCCTACTACAGGCCTCTGCTCACTGTCACCATGTCCATGAGAAGGTTTCACTGTCACTTCCCTGCGTAAGGACAGGTCTTTGTGACCTAGGAGAGGAGTCAAGCTCAGGACCCAGGGCCAGAGGGGCTGGTACAGATCCTTGTGCCACACTGTGTGAGTCTTGGGGGTCTTCACCTAATGGAATAAGATAGAGGCCATTGACTGTAGGCTGAGGGTTGCAGGAGACCATATTTACATATGGAAGGTACTTTCAGGGGTGCCTGGTCTCAGGCAAGCGTTCCAAAGATAACTAGCAAGATGGCTATATAGGTGAGAACTGGGGTATCAGAAGTACCTCACCTAAGGCCAACCAAGACTGTTCTTTTGCCCTTGGTTAAGATAACACCAAGGTATTGTCCCAGAAGAGGTTTCCTCTTATCCAAGACTCCAATATAAATGTGTTGTGTGCCATGTAACAGAGAATCTTTGTGGGCCAGATAGCCTCCATCTTAAGAAGAGAATGGAGACACACACAGGCGCTTGACTGCCATCTGTTTGGTACAGCTAACTTCTGTTTGGCTCTTCCCAGCAGCTTCTTCATGCTATTCCTCTTAGGTATGGTGGATTCCCAGAAGGGAAGACCTTAGTAGGTATGGCTTGCTATCAGCAGACCCTTGTACCTACAAACCCTGGGCCCTGGAAGGAGTGAGGAATAGGCAAAGAGTAGGTTAGAGCAAGTGTTGGAGGAGTGGATCTGGGGGAGGTGAAAACATGATCACCCCATTACTTTCAGTTCCAACATGGAGTTACTATGAAACAAACGGGAAACGAAAATTGTAAAGCTCAGAAGTAGGCATCATGATAATGTGGGAACTCTCAACTGGTCAAAGTGCCGAGAAGAAGTGACTGTTGAGTGCTTAGCCCTAAATGGGACATCTCTGTCAACACCACCCTCCCCCCTGAGGCTCAGGGAACAGAAGAGGTGACAAGAAAGCTCTAAGAGGTAGAGGATGGGCAGGAGTGCTGGGACATGCTGTTTTCTGGATGTGACACAGCTTTTGCACTCACGAACTCACTGCAGACCTAAACAAGAGCTAGCCAACAAGATCAGTCAACATTCCATCAGGCAGCATGAACTGGACTCTGTGCCCACGGGGGCAGGGGTATGAGGGTGTCGGGACATGTGTTAGGAGTGTAAGGGATGAGTTGGGAATGGATGTGGTCAAGATACACATGTGTGAAATTGTCAAAGAATAAATAAAAGATTTAAAAAAGAAACTACAAAGTTTCTGTATAGACTCAGGATAGAAAGTTTGAAAGTTATACCAGGACCATCCTCAGGGCCTTTAATACAGGTTTCTATGGTTGCAACAATTTGCTACAAAAAGAGAGAGAGAGAGAGAGATTGTATGAAAGTTTCTTTTAATGATTAAAAATCTGAAACATTGAGAAATCCTTGGGAAATTTCATTTTAGTCACAATTCCTTCTTTCCCTCCTTCTCTCTTCCTTTCTTATTCCATCCCTTTCTCCCTCCTTCCCTCTCTCATGTCAAAATGCCATCCTCATTCATGGTGAGCTGTTGTTAGGATAATGTTATGGTGCAGTTTTGTTGAAAACATAAGACTTCCCCAAGTCAACACTGCTTCAGATTTTGTTAAACATTATAATGAACTTCATATCATCTCTTAGTTTATATTTTAAATTTAAAAAACAAATCCCCAACCTATTCTTTTACTTGTGTTTTACTATGAAATTTTGGCTGTGTTAAGTGGGCAAATGGCAGATTTGGGTACCAGTGATGCTGGCATAACAAAAGTCCTCTTGGATGTGCCATTAAGACCCAATTAGAGGGGGAAGGTAGGATTCAGCAGTAGAGTGTTTACCCAGCATGCACAGGCCCTGGGTTCCATCCTCAGAACCAAGGTAGAAAAATTCCCAAATCCAATTTAATTATAGCACTCATCTTCTATGTTGTTGGAGAACAAAACGTTAGCTAGTTAAACCTTCTGACTGAGGCTAGAATCTTGGCTCTCCTGGAGACTGGTAGGAGAGCTGCATCTCTATACTGTCACTCACATCTTTAAGCCATGGAGTCAAGATGATATCTCCTAGTGGGGAACCTGACTTTTCAGATTCTTTGGGTCCTTCCTAATGATATTTCCTCCTTTCCGGTCAGATGTCCCTAACCTGGAATATGACAACCACCAATAGTCATTGTCTATCCCTTCACTCTGCAGTCAGATCCCTTTTCTCCCCCAAAGGAGTGATTTGAAGACGTGCCCAAATACATCAAGAGATCACAGACACCGTGATGGAACATTTTAGATCACCTTACAAAGAGTGAGAAGAAATGCCCAGTGCTAGTTTTTTCAGGGATTGAGAAAATTCTAATTGAGCAGACTACTGTGTCTTCAAAGAAAAAGGTAGAGCCCCTGGGATCTCCCTGCAAGGGAGCCACTATCCTGGCGAACATTGTTGTGAGGGTGGGATCCTCAGTGAGTCACGCCTGGAAAGAGCCTGGAAAGATTGGCCCAGCGTGCACATCTGAATTGTCCCTTGAGAGTTCGGTTAAATCAAAGGATTCTTCAGGAAGAAATCTGACTGGAAAGTGCCCCTGACCCCAGAGAATGAAAAACAACCCCCAAGCCCCATACCCTTGAAGCATGAGATATAAAGACATTTAATGGAGTGTTTCAGAGGGTCTCATCTTCCACCATGAACATCTGGAGATCTCTGTTGGGTGAATTTCAGTCTCTGTGACACCCAGACTATGTACAAAGACTAAAACATGCCAGGGGATGGATGCTCTAAAGAGCCTGTGGAAAATTCCAAGACGCAGTTCTTAAGACATGTTCCAAGGGTCAAGGGAAAATCGTCATTTCTTCAGATCAAGGTTCCCAGTTCCCACCCACTGTCCCTGTTAAGGACAGAAAGGCCCCTGGCAAGAAAGCCCCTTCCTCCCACAGCTGGAGGTTAAACATAGCAAGCCCTAAACCCTTGACAGAAAGTAAACATGACACCCAAGGGAAACAGAACATGGCTTCCTTTTGTTTTTGTTTTGTTTGCTTTTTGGCTTGTTTTCTTTTCTCCACCATTGCGTCTGTGCTCTAAGAAGTTAATGTGGGAGATGGACTGATCAGTTAATGCCATCTGGGTTCCAGCTCCTGGTCTGCTGTCCTATGAAGACTTCCATCTGATTAAGGAAAACACGGCATGGACCACGTAGAGCAGAGTGGCCACGTAGGCAAACACCTGGAACCAGAAGGAAGGTTGTTAGTGGGACTGTGAGGACTGTCATATGGCTCTGGAGGACAGATTCAGGGTATGTGGACTGCCACTGCTTCCTAGCACACGAGTGTACCCAGACCCCCCAGGTAAGTCTAACCTTGCTGTCTTGGTCTTGGTGGGCAAACTACCCTCCATGTCACACTAGGGTCATCTGACCTGGCTGGGGTCATCAAAGTCCCAATAGACATCACAGCTAGGTGTCAGTGACTCTGAAAACAACCCTCCCTACACCAGTAAGACCAAGGCCAATATTTCCAAGCTGTGACATCAGAAGTTGGCCTATGACATCATGGATGCCTGGGTTTGCTGCCTCTGGTTAAGTTCCCCCCATGCTGTCTGTACTTGATCAGATGCTTTATCTTTTTGTTTTGTTTTGTTTTTCAAGACAGTGTTTCTTGGAACTGAATTCCAGGCTGTCCTGGAATTCACTTTGTAGATCAGGCTGGCCTTGAACTCAGAGGTCTGCCTGCCTTTGCCTCTCAAGTTCTGGGATTTCACACCTTTTATCTAAAAAAATAAAAAGGTGTGTGTGTGTGGGGGGGTGCATAAGTAGGCCATAGGAGAACATCAGATGTTCTCCTCTATACGAGTCTCTGCCTTTTACCTTTGAGGCAAGGTCTCTCTGTGAGCTGGAGATTGTAGATTTTAACCCAGCTGACTGCTACTGAGTGCTAGTGGTCCACCTTGTGCCATGGTTTTTACAGCGTTTGAAGGATATCCAGCTGGCTATGTGGGTTCTGAGATCTGAACTCTGGAGCTCACACTTGTGCAACAAGTTCTCTTAACCACTGGACATCTTTCCATTTCTCAGACCCTTCCTCTTAATTCTGGATTCATTTCCCAGGCACAAGTGATTCAACCAGGCTTCATGGGAATTGGAGAGCGAGGCAGAGGAGGAGAGGAACCTAGCTTCTATCAACAGGAATTGGTACCAAGGAGTTGTTGAGGTGATGCAGCCTGTCACTTTGGACTGTCACCTGTGACTTGTGCTCACTTGGGTTGTGTGTGCCCCTGTACTCTGGGTGGCTGACCTCCCTAAGGGCTTGTCTACCCCCTAATCTAATATTTGCACCTGGTTTTGTGACCTTGGGCAAGGGGTCAAAAGTTTCCAGCTCTGGCACATTTCGGGTGGCCACGCTTCTGTGAGTCTTGGAAATGCTCACAAACAGCAGCCATGGCACTCAAGCATGGGTGGACGCTCCACCCTCATTGGCCAGAGGCGATGTGTAACCCCAGTTAGCTAGTGACAAATTTCTGGGAACTCCTAACTACTCAAGTCACCTGTTCCCCTCAGGTGGGACTTCAGGCCCCAGGAAAAGCCTTAGCAGAAGCACTTCAGAAGTTCTGGGAGGGGCAGCGAGTGAAGATTTACTTTGAAAATGAGACTAAGAAATGGCACAGGTCGATATTTAGAGCCCAGGATGTTCTAAAGCACATTTTGACCTTCAGAAACTCTTCTCTGTGAACTTCTGTCATGAGAGCCCACCACAGTAAGATCTAGATGTTTCCAGAAATCTCTGGTTCTGATAACTTCAGATAGTTTTCTGGAAAAGAAGCTCCATTCACTGGCACCAAAGGTCAGAGTGAAGAAGCTGAGCTGAAACAGGTCCGAATGAGGACCAGAGAGGGGAAATGAGGCAGGCTGGCTGGTGTGAGGGAGACTCCAAGATCAGGTGTTAATCCCTGAGAAAGGATGATGCCTCCTCTCTGGTACCAATCCAGAGGGTACTGTGAATGGAAATAGTTCTACTTTAAACCTGGTTCCCATGCCACATTATTAGTTCTAGCCCAGTACACCGGCCAAAGAACATTTTTGATTCTAGCACAAAATGGCCAGGCACGTGCTTGTCTATCCACATCCAATAAGAAAACATGGGGGCAGAATCAGCCTTGGAGTGGATGAGTAGATGTCGTGAAAGGCCTACAATGGAATACTATACAGCAATGTAATAAGCAGTCTGCATGTACACCCAACCACATGGATGACACCTACATACATACAATGGGAGACAGAAGCCAGGCATAAAAGAATGAGCTTTACCACACAATTTCACTTCAAGAGGCAGGCAGGCAAAACTGAACTGGGTACTAGAAGTTGGCTAGTAACTGCTGATGGTGATAAGGCCAATAAGAAAGTCTCTCTCTCTCTCTCTCTCTCTCTCTCTCTCTCTCTCTCTCACACACACACACACACACACACACACACACACACTAGTAGTGTTGGGGGATGGAATCTGAGGCCTTGCACATTCCAGACAAATGCTCTACCACAGACATATGCCTCAAAGGCTGTATCCTAGCTCTTTGAAACATATTTTATTATAAATAAAGTATCTTGTGTTTCTGTAGGTGGGTATGCGCACGTGAGTGCAGTGCCCATGGAAGCCAGGAGAGGGTGCTAGAGCCTCCAGACCTTGGGCTACAGGCAATTGTAACACACTAGGTGTGCACTCTGAGAATGGAACTCCGTGAGAGCAGTACTACTGAGCCCTTTCTCCAGCCCCATGTATCCGATTTCTTAATCATAGGAAGATCCATCTTCTGGAAATTCATCCATACGTCTACCTGAACCTGGATGAATGATGCCTTCAGATGAGAAGTCAGAGAGAGAGGTTGGGAAGTTGAGATGCAATAGGTAGCTTTCAACCTGTTCAGCAGGCAGCAATTTTAATTCAATCCAGGTAGATTTTTTCCATCATGGACTGACTCCAATCACATCTAGTCTACATCACACTACTGATGTCCTGATGAATTTTAGGGGCATTGTTGTCAAATGCTTGTGATGTCTGTGAACTCAGAAGGCTTTTGGGTTAAGAAGGGGAGTGGTCTGAGGTGCCCCTCAGGACAGGCAGGTGGAACAACAGTTATAGCCAGAGGCAGAGAGGATGGATCACCAGTCTCAGGGAAGAAGGCACAAGCTAGATGCTGCCTGGCTATGCTGCGGTGAAACTCCACGTTAGAAAGTATTCCATGACGGAGGACAACTAGAGAAGGTAGTGACAGGGACCTCAAGGGGGCCAGGTTCATGAAAGCCGCTTAAGGGGAGCATGCAGCTTCTCTTGGTTGGATAGCATCCCGTAAGGATGATGCTTTGAAGACCCTTCGTCCAACACATCCCTGTAGAGTGCATTCAGCCTCTTTTCTATTTTCCAGCAAATGACAGATACAGGCATAGTGTTAGCTCATTCCACTTTGGGATTTTCATGATTCACAGGTCAATTTCTAGAAACCTGAGAAGCACTATTTCTAACTCATTTTTTTTATGCCACCCATAGTTAGAAATAAGTTTCATATTGAGGACTCAGAGTAAGTGCATCAATACACTACTCAGAGGGTACCACTCAGAAAAACATCTTTCTCGATAAAAACAAACACAAAAGAAAACATCTTTCTGAAACAATATGATCTCTTACTCCTTATCATTAGGATCTAGTTAATTAAAAAGAAAACCCATCCTGGCCTCAGTGTCCCTTGTGTTGACTGCATGCCTCTGTGGATAACACTCATGGAGGGTCACAAGACCCAAGTAGCCAAACTCACTGCTTAAAACTGATATTAAAAGCGTGCATGGGTGGCTGAGACCCTGGCTTTGATGCTTGCCAATCTTAGTAAAGAGTCCAGGCTGCTTCCCCGTCTATGAGACGGGTGTGACAATGATGCTGGTCCCACAGGATTATTGTGAGGGTCATATATGATCAATTCTACCCATGTACAGTCAGTCTAGATCCTGTGCCCATGGCCTATGCAGAAAACAACTAAGGGAGTCATGGCCCATCCCTGCCCTTCATAGGGGCTTCACTGCTTCACAAGTGAGCGGAAGGTTTAACTTCCTTCCAAATGCAATGCACTGTGAAAAGAGAGGCGTGGGCTGGGTGACCCTCCACCTGGGGCCTCTGCAGCAGGCAATGAGAGCCACATGCTCTGTGTACTGAGGGTGCAGGGCTGCAGGGAACTTACCACTGCAGAGATGTTCTCATGGTACTGCTTGTAGGTGTAGCCTTCGTACATCATGATGGTGGCCAGAGCTTCCAGAACTGAGGCACTGAGGTAAAACAGGGCAGCCACACAGTGGTAGGCTGCATCCTGTGGGTGAGAAGGGCTGTGTCAGAGATGAGAAGAGACACTCCAACCCCGACATGGAGACATAGTCCTTGATGGCTGTACCCTCAAACTGTGAGGTATTTTTTTCAATAGCAACAAGAAACAAATACAGGATAATGGGTAGAAATTGGTTCTGGACCCCAAGATCAATTTTACATGGTTACGGTCATGGCTTGCATGTAGGCTCTTTGGTCAGTCTAGGGAGAGAGAAGCCTGGGCCATTTCCATTGTTTCCATTTTGTTGTGTTGGTCTTATTTGTTTGTTTTGGCTCCTGGTATATTTCAAAGCAAAAAGGAACTAAAACAAAGTTCTGAGTGGTTGAAGTGATTTCAAAAATTTAAGTAGAAAGGCTGTGGAGAAGTAGAGGTCTAGCCAAGTGGCCTAAACCCTCTTTTAATTAATAATAAGCAAGTTCCCTTATATTTATTTGAGGCCTGTTTCCAGGGCCTCAAAGCAGAACTCATTACAAAAGAAAGTACACAGGCTGTTCTGGCACCCGCCGCTTCTGGAAAATGTGCTTAGATGAGAGTCGCCAAGGAGCCCAGCAGAAAGCAAGGCCTAGTCACTCAAGAGCCATTAGCTTAGGCCCAGCTACCAGATCTCTCTGCTCCCCAGGGTGCCGACAGCCCTCCTGGATGGTAGGAGTAGCTGACAGCTGTCAGGTACATGTGGGCGGGTAGGTGAAGATAGGCTATGTATGAAAATGCAATCTCAGAAAAGAAATCAGAGCACCCTGTAAGAATCTGCAGCAAATATATGGACCTGTCCTCCTCTGTGCAGGAATCCTTTACTGCTAGGAAGAGTCTGAACCGAGGCCCTGCCAACTCAGCTTTGGGTTGTGCTGGAAAATGTTTGCAGGGAACCCCCATTCAGGGTTGAGGAAGTAGTCTTCCAGTGATGAGGGTTCAACACCCTCCTACCCCACATCCCCCCCACCACCACATACACACATTCCCAGGCCCAGCACTCACCAGTGTGATCCAGGAAGTCTCACCGCCATGAGTACCAATTATGTACATGACCATCAGGGAAGTGGTGGCAACGAAACAGAACACAGACACAAACATCACCCAGCCTTGGATCAGGGCAATTGGCACCAGGGAGGAGGCGATGAGGATCCACACCAGACCTCCAAAGATCTGCAGGGAGGACGCAGAGAGAGGATTGGAACAGGGACATTGGGGCTGCGGATACACAGAAAGGATACAAAGAGATCTCTTTTGTCTTCCAAGGCCGCAGGCTAGAGCTCCAATCTCACCTTTGCCATGACTTGCTGGCCGGCTTTGTTTCATTTCTTAAGTACAATTTTCATTTTTTTATTTAATAAACATTGTATTACATCTGGGCATTGTCCTAAGCGCCTCACAAACATTATTAACTGAGTTAATTCCAGTAACAGAATTATGGATGAGGAGTGAATTCATTTGTCAAATGGAGTAAATGAGGCATGTGAAACAAGGAACTCGTCATTGGAAGAACTTATTATTTGTATTAGCATTGGAAGGGCTACCCTTTCTTCGGAGTGTCTATTCTCTTTTATATTATGAAACAGTAAGCCCCCAGCTGGGAGTGACAGTACAGGTCTCCAGTGCCAGTGCTGGAGAAGTAGAGGTGGGAAAATAGCAAGTTCAAGGCCAGCCTAGGCTGCACAGTGAGTTTTAAGCCTGCCTAAACTACACCATGAGACCCTTATCAAAATATCAAGGACAGGGAATGTAGCTGAGTGGTAGAGGCCACTTGTCTAGTCACTGTAAGGCCCTGGGTTCAATCCCCAGCAACAGAAAAAAGGCTGTAGCAACTAAGAAAAAAGTTTTAGGTTATTCATAGGTGAACATACTAGCTATACTATGTTATTGACATTTTCTTCCAGACCAGAAGTCTTAGATGCCCAAGTTCAGGAACTTCTCTGACTGTTTAAATTGAAATTGGAGTGGAAAGGTCATAGGTTAGCCTGGTTTTCTCAGATGGCTGACCCACATGTGAGAGGAGCATACCTCAGGGATACTCAAAAGATATCACCATGAATGTCCCCAGAGTTGGAGAGTTCCCATTCTCAGAGGGGAACAAAAGAGGTTCCAGAAGTCCCCTGGATGGTCTAGCCACTTGAGCCTTGCTGGGATTTTCTATACTTCTCTCTGAGCCTCTTCATCTCAAACTTCATGTCCCTGCCCCAGGCAGATGAGGAAGGGGCTGGGACCTGTGGAGATGGCTCTGCAATCAAAAGTCTGGAAAGCAATGTGGTAGAGAAGGGCACTTCCTTCTGAGTGGCTGTGGCTGAGGGCAGGTGACACTCCCTTGTGTTTCGGGTTGAATAGCACCCGCATACCTTTTAAGGAGGTCAGTCGGGTCTATCCATCTTGTCAGCAGAGACAACAGCAGTGTGGGACATTTCTCTCCTAAGTGTCCTTGATCTGAGAGGCCTGGTCACCTTGTAACCATCTGGGGTCAATGTAAGTCAGGCTACTTGTCTGCATGATGCAATGGAGTCCTGCATGTCTCTGTAACCCGCAGCCCCAATATAAGGGCGTCCGGCTAGAGGTAAAAGGTACTTTGTCTGATCAGGTGGCTATGACAGTGAAGTCTGCCTTGATCGCAGAAGCTGCTTGCTCCCTGAGGGTTGCCAGGAGAATCATCTGTCCCATCTTCCAGCCAGCCATCCTCTACACAGTCATCCTCCATCCAGGCTAGTTAAATGGCTGTGCTAAACTAGAGTGACTTATGAGCAAAACCGCCACAGGAGCAGCTTGGGTTGCCCATATGTGTGGGATCACTATTCTGTAGAATCTATGTGTGATCCTTTGGAACAGACATGCTTATGGGTGTCTCATAGGGTGCCACAGAAGAAAGCAAGCCTTTTCAGTCTGTTTCAGTCAGTTCTCCTGACTCCTGCCAAACGTTTAAGTGGATCAAGACATTGCAGAATTCCCTTAGAGCACAGCCAGCAAAGGTGGACTGCGGTTTATGTTTACTGTGGCTATATCATTACATTTAGGGCAAACAAATTGTCAAATACATAGGTTAAGCTGGTGCACATGGTCACCTACTAATGGTAGACTTCGAAATGTTTTTCAGTTCCTGGTCTACAGAAGTACAGGTTCTGTTTTATGCATCTTATATTACCTCTTTCAACTCTGTTCTTCCCTATGAGGCCAGACTCAGGAATTGTGGTCAGGAGTCAAGGGTGGGGCAACAGGCAAGTCAGAATGAAATAACACAGGGTTTGACAAGGTCTTCCTAGATGTTAGCATTTCTGGCTCTGTGTTTCTGGTGCATGTCTGACTGAATCAGGCTATGTGAGTGAGTACTTGTATCAGTATGCCATAGACTGTTCCTGGACATACACACAGAAGACAGAGACAGACAGACAGATACACACACACACACAGAGGGAGAGAGATTGATTCCTGGGGTCAGAACCCTTGTCCACAATTGTCCAGTGAATGAAATCCATCCTGTACCTTTGTCCAGTCTCTAGCCCCTGACAGACCTCAGGAGGACCTGCCTCTGGGTAATCACCTAAAAAACTGGCACTTTTGAAAATTAGGTGTTCCCTCCACCCTTTGGTTGGTATAGACAGCAGTAGGTTTCACAGTGAGAATGTTCTCTCTGTTTGCCTCCCTCCCCCTACTCCCTCCCTTCTTTCCCCTATTCCCTCCTTCTCTCCCTCCCTCCTTCTCTCTCTGATCAGTTTTTTGAGACAGGGTTTCTCACTGTGGACTAGGCTAGCCTGGGACTAAGTAACTTCAGCTGGCCTCCAACTCATGTCAATCCTCCTGTCTCCACTGCCTGAGTGTTGGGATTACAGATTCGTATCATCATGTTCAGTTCTCTTTAAAACATTGTATATAAGCTGGGCAGTGGTGGTACATGCATTTAATCCCAGAACTTGGGAGGCAGAGGCAGGGGTATGTCTGTGAGTTAGAGGCCAGTCTGGTCTACAAAGTGAGCTCCTGGACAGCTAGAGCTACACAGAGAAACCCTGTCTCAAAAACCAAACCAAACAAAATAATAAATAAAGAAAACCAACAATAACAGCAAACACATTGCTAATGAGATGTAACTCACACATGGTATAATTCACGCACTGAAAACCCACGCTTCAATGGTGTTGAATAGATTTACAAACACAAGCTACCATCACCAAAGTCAACATTAGATCACTTTCATAAACTCAAAACTATATACGCATTAGCCATTCATGATCATATTTAGCCTAATGATTTCAAGGTGAATACTTCTCTTCCAGGGGGACCCCTGGAAAACAGCTATACGGTCATAGTCCTCACCAGACTCTTACGAGGCGTCAGAAAGCCACTGAGCTACTGGCTCCTAGGATGGGTTGTCTGTGGAGATGATGGCATGCATCTGTGAACTTATCAAACGCCGCTGGACGCCTAGGGACATTCTTCCATCAGTCTCCTGTTGATGTCACACCTCAGATTGGGGGCGGGTGACTCTGAAGACATCTTACAAACCCTGGTGTTTGCCCCCTGTCTGGTAATAGGTCTTCCCTACATGTACCCCTCACTGTCTGGCTCAACAGGTGGGGAGCAGGGAATAGACCGAAAGGCTATATTGTTCCGGGATGGAGCCAGGATGGGGGTGGCTGAGCAGGGTCAGAGGGAATATGAAGAAGTGTTAAAAGGCTCACAGCCCCCCTGAGGAGGCAAGGGGGATGAGGGGAACGTGAGAGGAACAGAGCCAAGGAGAGAGAGAGAGCGTATTTTTCCAGACAGTGCCTATGAAATGTGGCTCCACCAGGGACTTTCCGCTTTGGAGAGTGGCCCTTTGCTCAAGTCAGTTCCAGTGCAGAAGCTCCTCATTGAGGGCTGCAGCAGCCGTGGAGCACAAAGGCTTCCACATCCATGGATTGGACCAATTGCAGATTAAAAAGTGTCTGGGAAATACAGGCATGGTGGTGGATACCTGTAACTCAGGAAGGGAGGCCAGACTGAACTACAAAGTGAGATCCTGCCTCAACAATTACAATGAAAATATTTTTTTTGGAAAAACCCTGCATCTGAACTGGACATAGTTTAGGCTACTTTTTTCTGGCCTAATGAAGGCTAAGAGCTGGCTCTGAGGAGGTGAGGTAGCTGCCCTGGTGCATGGCTTCAGTGGTGCCTTAGAAGGAAAGGTGGACTTAGCTGGCTAGGGTGGACATGGGGCCAGTGTGTGCTTCTTTGGTGGAAGGACAGAGAGCATTGCACAAGAAGGGATGCTGCAAGAGTTTTCAGGGCTCCAGAGGGCGGGGAAGCCAGGATAAAGGGGGTGGCAGAAGCTGGGCTGGAGGAAGGGTGAGCCGTAGAGACCTGATATTCAGCATGAATCATGGGGGCCCAAGCCTGTTTGCACCCCACTCCACCTTCAGCCTGTACAGAGGGCAAACAGAGAGAGTGAGCAGGGCACCCACACCCGGGAGATAAGGCACTCCGGGGCAGTGAGCAATCCTCTCCCGCCTGGCTTCAGGACCCCACTGGCCAAATATTTGTCAAGAGCAAGGGGGTAGGTGAGGGTTCAAAAGCATTTCCCTTTGTAATGAAAACTCTAGGTGCCTTCCGGTTTTCAGTCTTCAGATGCACATAGGTGATTAGTAAAAGAAAGGAAGAGAGGGAGGGAAGAAGGAAACATTATACAACCAGGTGGAGGTGTGGCCCTGGGGTCTGTTCCTGTTAAAGCTAGGCTCCCTATTACCACCTCTTTCCTACCATAGCAGAGAGATGGTAGCTGTCAACAGTAGTCTCAAGTAAAGCTCTCCAAGTTGCTGACCTGGGAACTACATGGACTGACCAGTTCTTCTGGATCCCAGCACTCCACGCTGGAAAGTGGGGGTAGAACCTGGATTGATGCTCTAGTGTCCTCAGCCCTGACTAGCCATCAAATTAGCTAGGGCACCTTAAAAGAAACCAAACACACACACACACATGCATGGAGTCTCAGGGTCCATTCCCAGTACCCCATGGACTATGCCTGGTGGCACACATCCAGGTCCAGGGTCAGAATCAACTGGAGAGAGGCAGAACTGTGAGACAGGAAACAGAGGACCCAGGCTCTTTGCCAAAGACTGGGAACACATTTTCATAACATAAGACCTCAGGTGATATTCTGAATGTTCCTGACAAAGCACAAGAGAAGTTGG